CATTAGCAGGATCTGAGTGGCAGTAAGGGCAGAGCCTCTTTCTGTGGTCCTTGGAGAACCCCATCTCGGGAGTAGCTGAAGAAGGCTTGGTTATGGTGAAGTGACAGTCAGACTAGACTAGGCATTCGGGTTAGCAGGTAACTAAAGGAAGTAAATTTTTTTTAAAATTCATTTATTTATGCATACAGAACTGGGGTACAGGCCAAATGTGCAGGGATGGTGAGAGGATTCACTGGAAACAGAGTGGGGAGCAGAACAGCAGATTGACAAAGTACACTGCTGAGGGGAGCAGTGGGCAGGTCACTAGAGGTCTGCTGCGCCATGTAGGTCACCTCTGGGCTGGGTGGGGACCAAACTCATGCTGAAGTGGTTTTACCTCCTTGGTGGTATGCCTTAACCCGCTGCACCACCAGGGAGGGACCTAAATTCTTATATAAAAAAAGTTGTAATTAATCCTCATGTCAGTCTGTAAGTATTTTCTGTACTTGTAAAATGCAGAGTCAGAACTTTTCAGGGAAAAGACCAAAGATGCCTGGCCCTGGTCTAAAGGGTGTGCAGCCCAGCAGCATGGGCACCAGCCATGCACCTGCTCCCGCCACTTGCACTGTAACCTCATTTAATCATGGTGGGTATTGTCATTTGACTTTGAGAAAGCAGGCTCAGAAATGCAAACTACTTTTCCCAGGAGTGAGTGGCAGGGTGAGGGTTTAGATTCAGAGCATGGCTGGTTCTGGAGCTTCCCTGCATTCCATGATACTACAGGCACAGAAACTACAAGGGAGAGGTAGAGAACACGAAGGATGCTGTGTTGGAGTTTAACAGATGAAGGTGGGGGGCTGAAAACAACCACTATGAAAGCTAAAAATGAGGTTGTTGTACGAGTTCTCGTAGGGTGACCAGATCAAAGCTTGAAAGGCTGTATAGAAATGTACTGGTCCTACCACTATGGAAAGTTGTTTGGAGGTTTCTCAAACTGCTAGAACTGGAGATTCCATATGACCCAGCAATACACTCCTAGGTATCTACCCAAATGATACAAAAACACTGATTGAAAAAGCTACCTGCACCCCCATGTTTACTGCTGCTCTATGTGGCATTGACGCAAATGCCCAAAAATAGATGACTGGATCAAGAAGATGTGGTCCATATACACAACAGAATATTATTCAGCAATCAAAAATCTCATGCTTTTTGCAGCAACGTGGATGGAGCTGGAAGGGATCACGCTTGTTGAAATAAGTCAGAAGGAAAAAGAAAATACCAGATGGTTTCATGCATAGCAGGAGCATAAGGGATCAGAAAAAAAAATTGTAATAAAGTAAAAACAAAAAACAACTATAAACCAGAGACATTCTATGGGGGGTGGAGAGAGGAATAGGATCAAAACTGAGACAGGAAGAGTGCACAGGACTGTCGTGTTGGCACATGGGTGAATTGGTAGCCACAGGGATTACAACCGAGATGAAAAAATGTACAAAATGAAGAATGATTTAACAATAAATACACATATTTAAATAAATAAATCAAAAAGAAATATGCTGGAGGCCAAAAGGGGAAATCTTCCTTTAGAGATCAGAAACTACTTCTGAAGATGCTCCCTTTATCTCATCTTGGTTTGGACAAGGACAGGAGCTCAGGGGACATCTGGTTTTGTGTATGTCCCTGATAAGTTCCAACACAGCCCCATTATAAAGTAATGAAAATTGTTAAAGACTAACATGGAAATTACTTACAACTTCTTCGTCTGATAGGCTTCGTCACCAGATAGCATCCTCTGTATCCAGCTGGGTCCACCCCAGAACCTGAGCCGGAGCTGTTGCCTCTAAGAAGCCGGGTCAGTCAGGATCCCAAGGCCTGGAGCCTTTCTCAGATATCCCTGCAGATGCGGTCTGGGGTTTCTGGGGAAGAGGGGCCAGGGAACCAGGTGGTTCTCCCTTCCCTTTTTGGAATCCTGGTCAGTTTCAATTTACATAAAACAGCTTAATCCACAGAAACAGGAGCCAGAGGCAGGTCTTTCTCTATTTTTCCTCTCCAAGACACGGAAACCTTTATTTTCTCCCTATACCACAAACCGGTGCTGTTAAATAATATTGGATAATTGCACCTGTCGTCCTTCCATATTGTGCTGAGGAAAAATAATTGCTGGTTTTCTGCTTTGCAGTTTAGCTGTGACTCTATCATTTGACTCGGAGCATGTCATTTTCTCCCGTTTTAGACTGTGTACAGTCGAGCTGTGTGAAAGGACTCATGGATGGCGGCCCTGCGTGTATGAGTGGGCGCGGGCCTCATTCAGCGATGATTTCTAATTTATACAGCATTGAAAATCTGCAGCTATAAATAAACACTTCTCACTGGCTTGGCTGCCTACTCAAATGCTTTATTAAAAAAAAAAAGGGGGGTGGGGGGATATGGATGCTGGTTTTGTCTCTTGGGTCGGGAGATGAGGGACGCCAGACTTCAGACGGGCTCCCGGTTCTGTTAGCCAGCCTCTGGCAGCCCACCCCTCTCTCATCCCTCAAGCTTCCCACACACAGGGCAACCCGTTTTGGGGATTAGTGTATGAAACTGACTTCCTGTTATGACAAGTATTGCAAGCAAGTAGGTGAAGAGGGGCTGAAAATAGCTTGAGAAATGCCTGACCCTTTGTGGGGAGGAACGGGTGAGGGGGTGGGGGAGTAGTGAATTGTTTAGGCAAACAAGTCTTTTCTCCAAATTCAGAAAGTGCAAATGAGATACACCTTCAGAACAGACCCACAGGCAGGAACCACCCAGGCCTTGAGGCTGTGCAGCTCTCTAGATTGGCCTCATCGGCTGGGGGTTCTCCCTGACTGCCCTCTTTTGTCTGACTTTACTGATGGCCTACAATTTGTTGTTGTTGTTGTTGTTTTAAACAAAGACTATTCAATGACCAGTTAAGGAGTTGCTCTACTATAAAGAGGAACAAACATGGTTTGGGGAATCAACCCTTTGTGTGGCCTTGGGCCAGTCATTTCCCTCCTCTGAATCCAATGTTGACTGAGCAGCTGAGGTGTCTCTTCCTGTTCTTTCGGGGACACGTAGGTGGGGAGTACTTACCCCACAGCAAGGAGCAGATAGGGCAAGTGAGGGCCGTCACATCTGCTTTTATCCCCAAGGTGTTGGTTCTTACACATTTTCCAACAAAAATATCAGAAACTTCGTTTGCTCATTTGTAAAATGAGGACATACACATATCCCACTTCTTCGATTTTTTTCAGATAAAATGAGTCTGGAGGTGAGTGTGTTTGTAAAAGACATGCCACTAGAAATATCACTGCCAGTTTCTCATCGCTGGCTTTGTATGATGCTGTGTTCTAACTAGGGCATAATACAGCCCCATCAGGCAATAGACACTACACACCTTCCCACACACGTGTAAACAGCATCGCTTCTCCTTTCGCAGCTACGAGCACTGCGGGAACACGCTTGCTACGTACTTGCACAATGGGAAATAGTTCTGAGGTATTTCTGGCGCGGGAATAAATATTACACAGGGCCAGTCATGCAGCAATCAGGTTTAATTTGGTTCCAGGACAGTGAAGCCACAAATAGAAGGCTCATCCCAGCCAAAAGCTTACTATGACTCTGAGAAGTATGCAGTCCAAGTCATTTTGGGGGTGTGGAAAATTTGGGTGATCCCCTGCGGGTTTCACATTTGGGGAATTTCCACTGTGAGAACTGCTTCTGGCCTCTTGCTGAGGCCAGGTGCTCGGGCAGTCAGGAAGCAGCAGGTGTGGGTGATGTTCCCGGCTCCAATCAAAAAGACCTGAGGATCATGTTTATGTAATAGTGGAAGGGGGGTGGGCTTTCATGGTGCCTGAGTCTCCCCTTGGCCTGCCTGCCCTACGGGGGTGTTCTGTTCTCTTCCTGAGCACTGCAAGACGGCTCTCACTGTTCATTTTACCAAGTATTTCCTGTGTAATTGTAGACTGGAAATCCTAAAACCAGCATCCACATCCCATTTCAATAGACTTGAACATGTTCACCCACCACCAGACACTTGTTGTTTGTGTTTTTTATAAAATATGCCTGTAGATAAAGACATAGGGAAATAAATCCCCTAGGAAAATAAAAGCAAGGTTCAGGCAGGAGTCTGTTAATCAGTTGACAATCAGCTTTGTTAAACCCACAACTCAGGATAGCACCTTGTAATGGCATTTTTCATCCAGCTTATTCCCCTGTAACATGTACATTTATTTGAAAATTTAATCAGAATTTGAGTGTAAGATATTTTGACAATGTCACTATGTTCAATGGTTATGCCTGCCCCAAATACTTTCTTACAAGAGGGACAGATCTCCCAAAAGTCTGTATTTTCTCTTTGCCCCAAAGACTTTGCTATCACACCTGACAGACAAGTTCAGGAGTAACTAGATTACTAGATTAAGAAGAAAAAAAAAAAATAGATGAGCAATCCATGAAAGTAATTCATGAAAATGCTTTTTAAGAAAGTTGAGATTATTAAAATGTATTACAGAACTGGGAGTTAGAAGAGGGGAGAGAAAAGCTATTTTCTTGGTTCTGACATTAACTGTTTGGCTTCAAACATGAGGTAAATTCTCATGAGGTAACTTCTTCATGAGATAACTTCTCATGAGGTCCTTAGCATTCTCTTTTGTAAAATGAAGAATTTGGATGATCTGTTTCTTTCTCTCTATAAACATTCTCTAGCACCTTCTAATGTACATTTCTTTAGCCATAGGCCAGTTTTTGATCACAAACTCTTCTCCACAGAGGTCAGACAAAGGTAACAAATTCTGAGACAGCAGGAATTGTTTGGAGCATGTCCAATAAACCTCTCAAAAAGGCAAGAGTCCTCCAATTTAGCTACCTTCTTATTGAATTTAAAGATCATCCCCTATCTTTTCTATTCCCTATGTTGCTCCAGCACCTCCCTCCAACCAGGACAAAAAAAAAAAAAAAAAAGAAAGAAAAGAAAACCCTGTCTTCTTCTTCCTTATTTCCTGGGAAACAGCACACAATCACTTCTTCTTCTTTGACTGTATTGTGTCACCTGTATAAACAAGAACAGAATGAAACTTTAGGATTCCCTAATTGGTATTTTGGTGTGGGAAGACATTCACCCAGACTTGGGTCAGTAGAAAGTTGAGAAAACTTCACAAGGCAAGAAGACACACCTTAAGGATCTCTGAATGAGCATCACAGGTACTGGGCAGGAAACATCTTACCGTCCCCTCTTGGTGTCAGCTTATACCGAGGCAGCTGACCAAAGAAGACATTTCCCTTCATATCTCTACCATTTCCCTTCATATCTCTACATAGCTAACAGGGCCACTGTTTGTGGCTGCCTTTGTCATTTGTTTGTAGGTTACACCATCTGCCACAAACATTTAGACTTTGAAGATGGAGACAAAGGGACCATATCCAATTAGAGAGAAAATGGGAGAGCAGAACATCACCTACTAGAGGTCATCCATGAACTCTGACCAAACTAACTTACTGGTCTGAGGAGAAAAGTACTGACGTATTTATTATTTTTTAGTAAACTCACTAGAGGGTCTTTGAAATTATAGCATTAGCAATCAGGATGTCTTCTATTCAGCCACAAGTTGGTACCTCCGTATTTAGTGTTCATAATTTTTTTCCTAAGCATAGAAATTTCAAGAACTTCATTAACTATTTATTCTTCCTATCTGTTGTCAAAAGATATCAATCCTGCCTTGAAAACTTCTCAAGTCAGTCTCTTCTCCATTCTAGAAGCTAGTCAGTGCTGAGTCAGTATACATGCTCCTAATTCATATGTCCCCTCCCAACCCTGCCCTTTCTATCAGTATATCCTTAGCAGCAAACATTAAATATCTTGTATAGATTTTTTTTAAATGGAATTCCCTTTCTCAAAGGCTTTAGTGATGGTGATTGGAAGTACTGCTTTTGACCCTGTTATCACACTGATATCTGGAACAACAAACTGTTCACACATGGCCATCCTTTCTTCCTGTTTCTCAACTATTTCAAGGACAGTCCTCTTCTTTCTCCTACTCTGCATTCATGCATTCATCCAGAATACCTTTATGACCTTACACAGCTTTATAGACTTCATGCTGTTCCCACTTATGTTTCATCTTCAATATTAATTACCTCTTCCCCAGTTACATATTCTTTGTGTTAGGTAGAACAAGCACATCATCTTCCCATTTTGAAAAATGCACTTTGACTCTTTCATGAACACTCTTTCAGTAAAATAACACTTTAACTTCCTCATGTTCAAAAGCCTTGTCAATGTAAGTTTTTCAAACTTGTTCTGTGCAGTCACTGGGGAAGGCTCCTAAAACTTTCTTTACCTGTGTTGTCTCCAAACCCTAGCTCCTCAAGTCAAACTGGAGTCACCACCTGATCCCTTCAACCCCAGGTGCCAAGGGTCAGAGACTCCACTTCAAAAACATAACAGAACATGAAGATACACAGAGAGTGGCAGTTTAGGAGCAGAAGTGGTAACAGGGATTTCTTTGGTTGAGGAGAGCAGGTGGCTCTTCCGTGGTACCAAAGTCTCCCACATCTGAGCCTCAGCAGTGAGATGGAACACTAAGAAATTCCCACATGCCCTTGGGTGGGAAGGCACCATTCCCACATGTGTGTCTATCTGCAACTCCAACAGACATTTTATTCTGCAGAAACTTCTGGTGTTAATACCACAGAGATCTCATTTTTCTTCTTGTTTCTAGCAGGTCCTGAATCTCATGGTGATAAACAGTCTCTGGGCTCTGAGTTTTCAGAAGTTTTCTCTGACCACGTTACTACATGGCTGGAGATAAGGGAATGGCTGACTATTATCCAAACAAAATGCACAAAACAATTTCAGACTCTGAATGGGAAATGGAAAATAATGTTTTTGTTTGTTTGTTTGTTCTTTTCTTCATTGAGGGGAATTTTTCTAGTAGAGTCCTACTCATTGGTGACTAAGGAGCTAGCTCCAGCCCTGACTTATTTTACTCTTTTCTTTGTTCTCTGTTAGATAGTAGCAAGTAGAAGTATTTCAAGCCAGATATTCAATGTTTGCCTTGTGCAAGATTAAAACATTTTCTGCTGGCATGGTAAAAGAAACATTCTTTTAGTCACTATCACTATGGATTCCATGTGCAATTATGTATCTTCTTACCTAATAATCAGAAAAGAAGATAATAAAAACACATTACTCCAAGAGACTTGCACTGTGTATTGATAAAAGCTACTGTTAAGACTTTGGATGGAGACTGTGAAGAACATTTCTAGTTGCAGTGAGAAACAGGTAGCTGGGAGGATATGTGATGTTGGAGGAGAGGTGTTTGACCACTGAGGAACACAAGTCACAGTGCAGAAGTGATAGGAAGGACCAGCCACAGAAGTCTTGCCGGAGAGGTCTTTCATCCATTTGGGATTTATTACTATGCATAGGGTTAGTGATCTGATTTCATTCTTTTATACATAGCCTTCCAGTGTTTCCAGTGCCATTCACTAGCGTCTTCTTTCTCCAATGTGTGACCATGCTGCTTTATCATGAATTCAGAATAATTCAGAATAGATATGCTGACATATCCATATACATGGATTTATTTCCAGGCTTTCAATTGAATTGTGTCCGGTTTTTTTTGTTTTTTGTTTTTTTTTTTTTTTATATGCCACATTGGTTTTAGGACTGTTGCTTTATAGTAAAATTTAAAATTGGGGAATGTGAGGTTTCTATCTCTCTCCTTTTTTCCCCTCAGAATTGCTCCTGCTATTTGAAGCTTTTTTTTTTTAAGTTGTTTATGCATACAGAACTAGGGAACAGGCCAGAGGTGCAGGAGCCAAAGAGGATTCACCAGAGGCAGAGCTGAGAGCAGAACAGGCAGATCGACTAAGTACACTGTTGAGGGGAGCAGCAGGTGGGTCAGGAGAGGTCTGCCACGTCATGTGGGTCACCTTCCTGGCCTGGGATCCTGGGGCTCTAACTCACACTGAAGCAGCTGTGGTGAGCTTTACAGTGCTGCACTTTAACCAGTTGTGCCCTCAGGGAGTGCCCAGGGGCCTGTTTTGGTTCCATATAAATTTTAATATTTCTTTATCAGTTTCATTGAACAACATTGTTAGTATTTTGTTGACAGTTGTGTTAAATTCACTGATCGCTTGAGATAGAGCAGTGATTCTGATTATATTGATTCTCCCCATCAGGACCATGGGATGTCTTTCTATTTCCTAATGTCATTATATCTATAATTTTTAGAAAACATCTTGTAGTTCTTGGTGAAGTCACCTCTTTGGTTAAGTTAGGTTCATTCTGAAGTGTTTTATTCTGTGTGAAAAGATTGTGAATAGAATAGTTTCTTTAATTTCTTTTTATTTTCACTCATTTGTATAAAATGCCACAGCTTAGAAAGGCCACTTAGACATTCTTCTGTCTGCAAGCATCGATCCATTGTGTAAATTAATGGAAATGGGGGAATTCAAGGATCGCTATGATGTACTCCTGACCCTTAAGGAACTCAGAGTACTGTAAGAACATCCCTGGGCAGGCCCAGGAAGGCTCCCTTGAAGAGATGAGTTGAAATGAGCACTGGGGGAGTGAGAGACTGCAGCTCCTGGAGCAGAGAAGCACAGCAGTGGGTAGGGGATAAGAAGCCCAGGAGCCACGGCAGCGGACCTGGCAGCCCTTGTGGCCATTCCGTGGGCTTCAATGTTCGTCTACAAATTGAAGGAAATCCAACGTGGTTTACAGAGAACTGGAAATGGGAAATGTTGGGAAACGCATGCACAGAAAACTTCTTAGTTTTAGGCAACTGATGTGTGTTTGCTGCCTTTGGATTTTTTTTTTTTAAGATTTATTTGTTATATATGCAAATAAGAATTTGGGCACAGGCTAGAGGTTCAGGGTGGGGTAAGGATTCACCAGAGACAGAGTGGGGAGCAGAACAGGTGGATCTACTGAAATACACTGTTGAGGGGAGCAGTAGGTGAGACAGCAGAGGTCTGCTGCACCATGTGGATCAGCTCCCTGGCTGGAATCAAACTCATACAGCAGGAGCTGTAGATAGATAGCTTCATAGTGCTGTGCTTTAACAATTGTACCACCAGGGAGGGCCCACCTTTGGAATTTTAAGTGATCAATTTTTTTTAATCTTAGCCAAACATTTGAAACGAATATCTATTCAGAATTTAACACATGTATGATCCTATTGTGATGCTATTATGGAACTCTTAAGGAGTCAGAAATCTTGACTAAGGTTTTGTAAGAAAGATGGGGCCTCCCTGGTAGCACAGGGATTAAGTGTCAGCGCTATCAAGCTATCTCCAAGCTCTGCAGCCTGAGTTTGATCCCCGGCTAGAAAGGTGACCCACATGGCACAGCAGACCTCTCCTGTCTAGCCTGCTACTCCCCTCAGCAGTATAATTTAGTAGATCTGCCTGTTCTGCTCCCTACTCTGCTGACCCACTATGCCTCAGGCCTATACCCCGTTCTTATGTTCATAAATAAATTCATCTTATAAAAAATCTTGAGAAAGGAGAGAGACAGATAAACATCTAAGTAACAGCTGTCACATAAATCTTCCCCTAAGCACAATGTAAATCAAAGTCCACATGTTGATGCTGACCTAGTTGCTTATTGGAACCTAATTATAGTTTAAAAAATCTGTTATACTGCTCAGGGGGAAAAAAGAGCTTTGTATTAAAAACAGTGATTTCATAACATTAAATACAGTATTTTTTTTAATTCAATGAATGTTTAAAATTACCTGAATTACTTCAAAAATCATTTCTAGTACAACTGGTTCTAACAGTTATTGCTCTCTAAGTTCTGAACAATTGGACTTTTCTCTATATATCTCAGATTTTCCAGATTTCAAATAAATTAATTTCTTTCATCCCTTCTTCCTTTTTTAAATACAAAATCTTTACTCAGAGTTTCAAGAGCCAAAACTAGTTAGAATTAGATATCAACACTTTTTTTTTTCTACTGCATAATTTCCTATGATTTAGAATCTTGATTTTGGAATAATTTTTAGTATTTGATTTTTTAAGTGTTTGCTTTCAAGGGTGATATTGCCGTTGATACTTTATTAACCAGTTAAATTCTCCAGGAGTAAAAAATCACGTGAAAAAACTAAATTGCATCCTTATGTCTCCAAGGTCTTGGTCTCTTTCAGAAATACACACTCTTGTACTGAACCTTCTGAAACTGTGATTTTTTTCTTTTCGCATACACAGGCTTATGTTTTCACACCAGTTCATAGATTGGGTGGAAGATGTCACTTCTGCCATTTCTATTTTGATAGAACAGAATGGCATGTGGGTGTGTGATGTGGGGGGCTGTATGTGATTCTTGCCTTCCTGACATGCACAATCAGGGTAGAGTTCTTGCATTTCTCCTTGGTAAGGAAAAATAGCATGAGTGTTTTACAACCTGAATAGTTTGTGGTTAATTTCCCATAATCTAATATTCTGGCATTGGGAGGGGAGAAGTAAGGAGAATAAAATATTCCATTTTAGTATCCACTAAACTAAGATTATTTTTCTCTTATGAAAAAGCAACATTGTTCTATTCACCTATAATTAGAACGCTTAGCTTACTGATTATTTCCACACTGCCCAAGATCTTATCTAAATGAGAATTCTAATATCAAGAACAAGTTGTGATTTTATCTGGTAATTATTTTACTAAAAATTGAGAAGTAACTTAACAAGCCACTGCTGAGGTTGAAGGAGCTAAGCGGGTCATCTGGATGCATGTTCTTCAAAAAGAAAGCCTGGACATTTTTAATAGCACATGTCCCTCAACCCCTCACTTAAGGGAAGAGGAACCTGAACTCAGTTCTTCATACTGGGGCTGGTGCCACCTTGCTCTCTGGGCCCCGAGCTCTCTAAGCAAGATTATTTTTAGCCTTACAATTAGATGAGAGATTATTTCAGGAAGAAAGGGGTATTTGAAGGGGTCCTTTGAGAAAGCACTAACACCCCCTGCTGTTGTTGTTACTACTTTGACCTACTAAAGAACCTGAGTTCTTTGGGTCAAGGTGTTGAGTCATCTCACTATCCTCCTTGGGCTTGTTTCTGCTTCTGTTTCCAGGAGGAGGGGTAGTGCATAAAGAAAGTGTTTCTGTAGCTCAGGAGAAACTGACCCCATTTCCAGTGGTTGAGCTTCTCTCCCAGTAAGTAAATACTGCCACCCAGGACGTAGCTGAAAAAGAAGAACGCTGCCATGCCCACCGGGCTGAGTGTGGCAAACACGGGGTACACCCACGTCCCAGTCTCGGCGTAGATCCACAGGACTCTGCAGAAAATGACAGATCAAAATGATTAAGACAGCAAGGGGGTAATGGCTTTTCTCAACTCAAGGACAATGAAGTTCTGAAGCCCAGGCAGATAAAAAAGAGCCATGGGGGACATCTGAAGTGTTCTATAGATCCACAGAGAGGCTTTTGTAGATGAATGGACTCAATCCAAAGACACATCTTGTTTCTTGGGCTGGGTTTGGGTATTTTGCCTCACCATTAAAATGGAAAAATATCGGGGAGGGGCCATCAGACACACCGTTGGCTAAAGAGAGTGTGTAACATGGTTTTCTCCTTTCCCTGAGAGGTATGAGCTATTGAGATACTGAACTGGTTAAGATGGTTTCTGTCAGAAAAGCAAGGTTAATCTTTGTACCTAAGAATCAAGGGTGGTTTTCCATTAGTTTCCCAAATCTATTGGGTGCAGGACAGGAAGACATCAAACATGACTTCTCTAATAAAATATGCTTGAAGCCTCATTGTTGGTCCTGATTTCAGCTCATGGATTGAATGTTAAATAGAAAATGGATGAATTTAAAAGAGGCTCAGATTTTGGCTCATTTCTATAAGCCAACAGAAAGAAAATAAATGTTAGGAATGAAGCCTGAAACTGCAATTTGCTGTAAACTAACTGCATTAGAAGCAGCTAATATCTGAAATAACTTTTATAATTAACTATGGGGAAGATGATGTGTCAGTTACAGTTTATAATTGGGGAAAAGTATAGACTCTGGAATTAGGCCTTTGTGATTCAAATTCTGTTCTGCCACCTATTAGCTTTGTTACCAATTTAATCAACTTTTCTGTCCCTCCACGTTCCTGTATAAAGTGGGAGTGTAAACAGTACATACCTTATATAAATCCATTGTGAAGATTAGGGACTTTAGCACACATAAATTACACAGAGGGACATGTCACATTGTAAGGGCTGGCACAGTGGGAGGCTTCTCAGCTATTTTCTTGTATCAACTAAAATGGACAAGATTATGCCTCAGAAACAAATTTGGATATCCCAGGTTGCTCAAGGAGTTCAGATGGAAGAGTGAAATTTTGTTTAATTGAATTTGATTATTTCAAATTTCTAAGTTTGGCAAACAATTATGGAAGAGGCAAGGGCTAAGGTCCAGAACTAAGGTGAGGCAAGGGAAACATGTGTCACTGCAATTTAAGGAGATGTCTGTGTATTGACAGTGAAAGTCACGTATAGCCTGAGAGCGAATATTTACACATCACATATAAGAGATTGTAACACAAAATACATACATTCTGGAACTCAATAACAAAAAGCAAAACATCCCAATTAAAAAGGACAAAGGGGACCTCCCTGGTGGCCCAGTTCTGTAGAGCACTGAGTTTGTGTTCCAAACAGGGAGGTGACCCACATGGTGCAGCAGACCTCTGCTGTCTCACCTACTGCTCCCCTCAGCAGTGTATTTCAGTAGATCCACCTGTTCTGCTCCCCACTCTGTCTCTGGTGAATCTTCTCACTCCCCCTAGCTCTGGCCCTGTTCTTCTATGCAAAATAATAAAATCTGTTAAAAAATAGAAAAAGGACTTGAATAGACATTTCTCCGAAGACATACAAAAGGGCAACCAACACATGAAAAGATCATCAGCATCAGTAATTCTTAGGGACAAGCAAATCAAAACTAAAATGAGATACTACTTCAAACCTGTTTGTATGAATACAAACAACAACAAACAGAAAATGTGGGTGGGAGAGAATGTGGAAAATCAGAACACTGCTTCATGCCTGGGCCTGTAACATGGTGTAAATGCTACAGAGAACCATGTTAGTTCTTTAGAATAAAATATAAGCTATGGTATTGTTATATAACCCAGCGATCCCACTTCTTAGTAGAAACCCCAAAGAGTTGAAAGCTATGACTCAGAGAGAACTGTCTACCCATGTTCGTGAAAGCATCACCCACAATATCAAAAGTATAGAAGCAACCTGTGTCCATCCAGGGGTAAAGGCATAATAAAATGTGGAATGTAAAATGGAATATCACCACTTGGTCTTAAAAGGGAAAGAGATGCTGACACGTGGCACAGCCTGATTAAACCTTGAGGATACTGTATCAAGAGACAAAAAACAAGCACTATAAAATAGCAAATATGGTTGTTATTATTCCACTGATATCATCTAATTCAAAGCAGAAAAACTGGGGAGGGGGCGAGGGAGAATGGAGATACTGTTTAATGGGCACAGCATTTCAGTCTGGGAGGGAAAGAATTCTGATAGATTGGGGATGGCCATCTAGGAATGTGAATGGACTCGATGCCTCGAACAATATATATATATATATATATATTTTTTTAAGATTTATTTATTTGTACATACAGAACTGGGGTACAGGCCAGAGGCTCAGGGGCAGTGAGAGGCTTCACCAGAGATAGAGTGGGGAGCAGAACAGGCGGATCAACAAAGTACACTGCTGAGGGGAGCAGCGGGCTGGTCAGGAGAGGTCTGCCACACCATGTGGTCGCCTCCGGGGCAGGCGGGAATCGAACTCATGTGGAAGTGGCTTTAGCTTCTCAGTGCAGTGCTTTAACCCGCTGCACCACCAGGGAGGGCCCCTCGAACAATATATTTTTAAAAGGAGGAAAGTGGCAAATCTCATGTTAGGTTTATTCTGAAACAATAAAAAACAAATTAAAGAAGCTTCAGCTTCCGGTCTACCACTGTGAGCTGGCACTTGGCCCTGTCCTGGCCTGTTGGTGTCTCTCTGTTCTCCCAAGCTCATCTCGATGCTATTTGCAGGGAGTCAACACATTACTAGATGCACATCAAAAATTTCTATCGTTATTTACTCTTTGAAGTGTGCATCCTTTAGAAGCCTTTTTGCAGCATTTTTTCTGCATGGCTACACCTCATGTCATGGCAGGACAGGTTTAAGGGACAGAAAGTAAATATCCCAGGTGGCTAGAGTTTGGGGTCAGGGAGGAGCTTTGAGTACAGTCCAAACATTGCATTAATTAGTTCACTTTGCTTACTTTGTATATTTGAAATTAGGGCTTCCTTGTGTTCATGCACATTTATATAAGATAGTCTACAAATAAGGACATTGCCCTAGAGACCAGGAAAATTTCTATTTATTTACTTATTTTTTTATTTTTCACAGCATAAGTTTTGTAAAGAAAAGCTCCTGGTGTAAGATGATGAGGCCTCCACTTTCACAGAGAAATCACAAAGAATGTTACAGGTGTGTTAATGGTAGGCAAATTAGTGAAAATTAGAGGAGCAGATAAAACTGTAGTCATTTAATAAAGGGTGGTCGAGACACACAGACTGAACAAGGAGATGGTCACAGTCAGTTGGTGTCACTTCTTTTTGAGTTTCCTGAATGATACTGAATAATAGGTTGAAAGGATAGAGGTGGGGGAGGAGAAAGAGGAGGAGAGGAAGGGAGAAGGAGAAAAAGGAGGAGGAGGAGGAGAGAGAGAAGGGAGGGAGGAAGGAGAAAAGGCATGAAGAGGAAGTACACGCTGCACTCAGCAGCTTGATACAGATCTCAGTATCAACTGCCGCCATTATGTCCCCAAGTCTGAGCCAATGAAATCATCGAAAAGTCTCTCTAACGCACATCCCTCACTCAAGGCTCATGCATCTTGTCTGGTGTCTGAAACTGTCTACTGGTTAGACTTTTCTTATCTCTTCCAAAGACCACCAGAAAACCAAGTAGTCTTTCTACAGATGAAATGTATCCATGGTGCTCTTCTGACTTAGGAAAATATCCAAGCCCCACCCAGCCTACTTGACTTGCTCTGCTCACCTGCCCACCAGTCCACCTGTCCACCCATCCACCTTCAGATTGGAAGATCATCCAGATTTTCCGTCCTTCTGGCTTTTTTTTTTAAAGATTTATTTATTTATTCATATAGAACTGGGGTACAGGCCAGAGATGCGGAGGGTGAGAGGATTCACCAGAGACAGAGTGGGGAGCAGAACAGGCAGACCGAAGAAGTACACTGCTGAGGCAAGCAGCAGGCAGGTCAGGAGAGGTCTGCCACGCCATGTGGTCTCCTCCGGGGGCAGGTGGGAATCGAACTCATACGGAAGTGGCTTAAGCTTCTTTGTGCAGTGCTCTAACCCGCTGCGCCACCAGGGAGGGCCTGGCTTTTTTTTTTTAAAGACTTATTTATTCACGTATACAGAACTGGGGTATAAGTCAGAGGTGCAGGGACGGTGAGAGGATTCACCAGAGACAGAGTGGGGAGCAGAACAGGCTGACTGAAGAAGTACACTGCTGAGGGGAGCAGCAGGCAGGTCAGGAGAGGTCTGCCACAGCATTGGATCACCTCTCTGGCGGGGATTGAATTCATGCTGAAGTGGCTTTAGCTTCTTAGTGCTGTGCTTTCACCTGCTGCGCCAAGAGTGAGGGCTCCCTTCTTCTGGCTTTTAACTGAACCAAGCTCTGCAGCTTTTGGCTCTTTGATATTGCTGTTGTCTCTGCTTAGCTCACCTCTGACCTTCCACTGCTTGGGACACACTTTTCTTTGCGTTATGCCTTGCTAAATCATACTCATGCTTCTAGTCTCTGCTTAAAAGTCAATTGCTCTAGAAAATATTCGCTAAACACTGCCGCCCCCCACCCGCCCAGACCCACTCCAGTTAGATTCGTGTGCCCTGTGACCTCCAGCACAACCATGGTGGTAACCAGGTCTAGTCTCTGCATTTTCACTGGCCTAGAAGCTCTGCAAGGACAGGACTCATCTCTATGATGCATTTTACAAGAGCTGAAACACAGTAAGCTTTTGATATCTTTAAGGAAAAGTCTGTTTCAAGTGGCTATAAGCAATTTTTGGTTCCTTTTACCCATTGTAGACAGTTCTCAATTGCCTGGCCCATTAATACAGCAGCTTCTGGAAACTGGCAAATGTATCCAGTAGCCTTTCAAATATTAGTTAGTTGACATTCACTTGATTAAGACTGACCAGTGATTCTGTCCTGTGGTAAAGAAATCAATATTATGTCCTCTGGAACTGCCAGCCTTGT